GATGAAAGAAACTAGGGTAAGTGTGACTGAAGAATGGCGAGGGGAGCAGGTGACAGAAGCAGCCATTCTTATGTGGTTGTTAGTGGATGACTGAACTGAACCACTTATTGACAAAATGAAAGTATATGCTTGAGTTAATCTACAACTAGTGTTTAGATTACAGTTGGACAGTATTTCCACAAGACAAAGGATCTCCATCAAATACCAAAACTAGCATATTGACTTGCAAATAAGGCTATTGTTCACAAAATATTTTTGTGATTTGTCCTGGTCACTCACTAATGTTCAATATGACCATGTGTTTAGTATAATGAGTTATGTAAGATTAGACATGCAGGTTCAGTTTGAAGGAATTTATCATTACTAAATAATAGTTGGAGGTAACATATTTGAATGTGCAGCAACAGCAGTTTTGTCAGCAGACATTATGTATGTATTTTATTTATGGGGGAGCAAAAGACTATAAAGTGAGACACTATTACATTTAAAATGGTCAGTTAAAATTATTTTATGAATATATTTTCTTTCTGTAAGCAAGAAAAAATAATTTAATGTAGTTCTCTTCTGGCAAAGTGCATTATTGCCTCTGCTTTGCTTCATTTTGACATTTTAAAAGTAAACCAAAGCTTTGTATTTATCTATTTTGCAGGTACTGATACTAGACCTGAATAAAATTTTTCAAGGTAACTAAATGACTTTGGAACCTAAGTCATGTTGCCTTTCGGTGAGACTTAGAATCCTAAGTCACGTAGGCAATTTTGAAAATGGAATCCTTGTACACTATCAGCGTGACTTTGTGGATCACAGCTGAGAATACCAAATTCAGGACAAATTGTTGAGAAATAGGGCAGACACACCCCAAAACTGGTAGTTATTCTCACATGAGATATACCAAACCAGCAACAAAAGTAAACTTCTGTTTCACCACACTGGCTAACAAGAAGTCAGAAAAGCAGTTTCCATGGGCATTCCAGTCCTTGTATCACCACCAAAAATACTACACTTAAAGATGAGTAGTTCTTTAAGATCAATTTCATCAAATAAAATGTTCTGATCCCAAAGGATCACACACCCAGACCAATATATAACTCAGATCTTACCCATTAATCACGCTGTTGCCAATCATTTAGTATCTAAAATCTAAAGGTTTATTTATAAAAAAGAAAGAAAGGTGAGACTTAAAATTGGTTTAAGGAATCAAATACATACAATAAATGCAAAGTTCTTGGATCAGCAACGATGCCATGCAAGTAGAAATAATTGTAAAGTTGTTTAGTTTATAAAATGTTCCAAGCCTATTGAATTAACTCTAGTTTTTTCAGGGAACTACACTACTAGTGTTCTCTGAATCCACAAATGGAAGAGAATTTTTTAAAGCTTCAAGGGCAGCCTGTAGCCCTGGTGTTTTTGTTAAAAGGAAAAGATAAAAACATGAGAGAGCAGAATGGTAATGACTTTTGTCTTTGGGAAAGAAAGAATATATACATTGAACTACGGGGTGCTGAGACAGTTTGGATAGTGGAGGTGCCCAGAGCCTTGAACCAAACTGTAAACCCTGTATATGATGGAAACCACTTCAAGCCAGGGGGTTCAGCTGCCCCCCTAGCATCCCTAGTTCCAGCACCTATGTCAAACTATTTATTTACATGTTTTAGGCTGTATTACAAACTTGTTTCTTTCACTATTCACTGACAAAACACTAACACAGAGTTAAGGTTACCTGATGGTATCTCAAACTTCTGAAAACCAGGAAATGAAGAGTTAAGGTACATGCCTATCCAGTCTTACCTCCATTATCTGCATGCATACCAGCTGCATTCACTGTATTGTTTGTAGCTGTATTGAATGATGGAGGGATTAGTTGGAGCAATTTGGCAGTGCTGTGATTGTGATATGAGGTAATCTGAGAGGGGTGAGAGAGAGAGAGGTGTATGTGTATCTTGAGAGTTCCAGTACGATTCATTTCTGTGCTGGTTTGTGGGAGTTGCATCAGTAGCAGGGCACAGAAGACATCTTGCCCTGGGGATTATCAGCAGTAAAGTGGGAGCTGAGTATGGTCTGTGGGTGTAATGAAGGGAAAGTGAAAGTATAGATGGCATCGGGTGCATAAAGATGGAAAGGTTGCAGATGTGGTTTTCTTTCTGTGGATTAGGTTAAGTGTTTGAGTTTAGAGTAGGTATAGGTAGCTCCTGTAGGGTACAGTGCACAGGCAGTGTGTGAGGAAGTTCATTATGAGCATATTGAGGCATCATTCAAAGATAACGATTGAGTGGCTGTATACCTTAACTCTGTGTTTCCTTGTTTTCAGAAGTTTGAGTTTTGCAGAATTTAACATTCTGAAAGGACATGAGATATCAATGGGCAACATTAACTCTGCATGAATGAATTTTTTTTAATCGCAAAGAGAAATTGTGTTGGTAGAAGTAAATGCTTATTTAGGTAGTTGTATTTATCATGAAGGCTTGCAGTTGAGATGCTACTGTGGCCAGATAATTATAATAATATCGAGCTCTTACATAGCACTTTTCAACAGTAGATCTCAAAGCATTTTACTAAGGAGGAAAACCTCATCCCCAGTATACTGATAGGGAAAATGAGGCACAGAGAGGTGAAGTGACTTGGCTAGTGTCATCTAGAAGATCAGTAGCAGAGCTGGGAATAGAGCCCCCCAGGTTTTCTGAGTCCGAGTCTACTGTTCTTTCCGCTTAGGCCATTGTGTTGTTCTGAGATTTCTAAGTGCTCCCTCCCACCTGATGTACTTTGTTACAGTAGAATGGAGATAATGGTCATGCTTTGAAATATTTGAAGTTGCTCACAGGGCCGCTAAGGGAAATCTCAGCATAATCTAGGCCCCCAAATCTTGACAGTTTTATTTCATGGTGGTTATAGTAACTTTAAGCGTCTGAAAGAAGACCCAGCCTGCAAATCACCCACCTCCTCCAACATGTACCCTCCTCCTCAGCGACCAGTCCCATTGACCATTTAGCACGTTAGGGGTCAGATTTGCACAAAAACAGTTGAATCTGTAAACTTTAAGAAAAACTATTTTTCCCCAGGAGGTTGTATCTTGGGAACCCACCTAGTCAGTCCCCCTCAGAGTTACAGGGCCATATCCTGGCTTATGTGGGGTGTAGGGAGAGAGGCTCAGATACCCCCACAGTGACAGCCTCTCCCTGGATCCTGTCACATGCACAGAATGCAGGGAGAGGGGTTCAGATCCCTCCCATAAGGCAAGGACCCTCCAGATTCTAGATGGTGGGGGGAGGGAGAAGGGCTCAGACATTCTGAGGGGCAGGGTCCCACAGAATCCAGCTCACGTGAGGGGGACTGAGAGAATGGCCCAGACCCTTTAGTAGGGCAAGGATCCCTCTGGATCCAATGTAGGGGCAGGGAAAGGGGGTTCAGATATTCCCCAAGGACAGGGCCTCCCAGATGCCATATTGGGGAGCAGGAAGAGAGGCTGAAATCTCAAAAGTCAGGAAATACTACTATCTCACGTAACCATAACTTTCTTTCAATGTACTGTTAAATATATAATTACCCAGTTTCAATTAAAACCCCCCACTAAAATACCAGTATCTGGAATGATACTGAGTCATCAGCAAAGTTGGATCCACAGTACAGGCTTCTACCGCCTGAGTTAATGGAGTAACTGATCTAAGTAGCAGGCTGTTAGTCTCTTTGTAGACCAGCCATTAGAGGCGGGTGAGATGCAGGCTTTGTCAGTAGGTTTTGTTATTTTCTAGACAGCAGAGAAATGTTGAGACTCTGAAATCTTTGCTTCCCAGGTTTTGGGAAAGGAGTGTGCACTACTGGTTAAAGACCCATCTTTATCCACCCAGCTTGCCCCTATGAACCCTCACAGCCTATCTGTCTTATTCCTTTTCAGCCATGCACCTTCCCCATCCAAGCTTGTCTTTGCCTCCTTTCTAGCCCATTTCCACCATCTTGTATCTGCCTTACTTGCTTTGTTACCCCATCCAACCCCACATATTTCCCTATCTCACCTTCCTAGCTTGTCTGTGCCCTCTGCCCCTCACCCCTCTGCATTCCAGTGAGGCTGCATCCTCTTCCTGGGCTCTAGCAGGGGCACTATTGAGGGTGCAGGAGGGTCTCCATGGCCCTAGCTGTGTTAGGAAGAGTGGATGCAGGAAGAGTCCTTCTCATATACTGCAGCTCTGGGCGGAAGCAGGTCTAATGCAGAAAGAATCTTCAGAGTCCATAGCTGCCAAACTCTACAAGTCTCTTCTGAACATGTATGAATTGCTGTTTTTTGGAGGCTTAAAACTTGGCTAAATGTGGGTGGATTTTCATGGGGACAGCAAAAGGCACATCCCTGATACCAGAATGACCCCTCTTCTCCCAGCCAAATTTCAGATCTCTGCTCCAAAGCATGGAGGCTTCAGAGCTTCTTAATGAAACAGTTTGTATGAATTTTTTAACATGGGCAAAATAGCTTATTTTTCCCTATCTTGGAAATGGCTGAACTGTTTTTGCTGAAACTTAAAAATTAACCTGAGACAGACACCAGCATGCGAAATTTCAGTTCAAACAGCTGAAGTTCACAAAGTTATAAGCTACTGAAAACCAGTTTTTAGTATGGAAAGACTTAAACAACATTAACTATAGGCATTGTTACCAGGCTCATCTATAGTTAGAGAGAGAGAGGGGTTGTATTTTTTTTTTTTATTATCAGAGCCAAATCAACATTTAGTTTCACTACATTCTGCAGTACTAAAGAATAAAAAAGGCAAATAAAGAGTTAGTAAAATATATTGAACATATATTTATCATCATCTCTCTAATTATATTACTACCTTAGTAGATCCCAGTGCTGCTGTTAAGCTTGGTTGATGTTAGCCAATCCTTATTTTTCTTGTGGCGCATCACCTGCAAGGATAATAGCCTTCAGGCTTGTCAAAGCAGTGCTGTGGAGCTTAAACATCCGGACAGTTTTTTTACTGACATACGCAGTATGCTGATTTCTCTCTCCTTTTCAGAAGAGAAACCTGACTGTTCCAAGGCCCGCTGTGAGGTCCAGTTTTCTCCTCGCTGTCCAGAAGATTCCATTTTGATTGAAGGTTATGCTCCTCCAGGGGAATGCTGTCCACTTCCAAGCCGCTGTGTGTGCAACCCTGCAGGTTGCTTGAGGAAAGTTTGCCAACCAGGCTACTTGAATATATTGGTTTCTAAAGCATCAGGGAAGCCAGGGGAGTGCTGTGATCTCTACGAATGTAAACCAGGTAAAAATGGGTGCCATTTTTTATGTTGAAATTTTTCCCGTCACCTATATCTAAGAAACATAATGTATAATATAAATGATTTCCAGTACAGACTACACTGTAAACAATGTAAAATATTCTGAATATCCTATTACAAGCATTATATCATCAATAACTGTCTACTGCACATCACTGGAACAACATCCATTTAAAAAAAACCCAAAACTTGTTTAAACAAATATTTCTTTCTCTGCTGAGATAAACTTAAATAAAGGGCTGCGGGGGGAAGGGGGAGGACCTATAAGAGAGGGTGGTGTATACTACCATAGATATTTTTGCAAAAACAACGTATCTGATATGCAGGTTAAGCAGAACATATGCAACTTCCAAGAAGTTCCTTTCTTACTGAGAGGACTGCATTTACTATTTAATGAAGCAATCAATTTGCAGACAGCTAGAAGATAATAAGGTGATAAGTAACAGTCAGCATGGATTTGTCAAGAACAAATCATGTCAAACCAACCTAATAGCTTTCTTTGACAGGGTAACAAGCCTTGTGGATGGGGGGAAGCGGCAGATGTGAGAATCTTGGCTTTAGTAAGGCTTTTGATACTGTCTCACATGACCTTCTCATAAACAAACTAGGGAAATACAACCTGGATGGAGCTACTATAAGGTGGGTTCATAATCTGGAAAACCATTCCGACAGAGTAGTCATCAGTGGTTCACAGTCATGCTGGAGGGACGTATCAAGAGAGGTCTGACAGGAATCCGTTCTGAGTCCAGTTCTGTTTAAATATCTTCAACAATGATTGATATAATGGTACAGAGAGTAAACTTGTAAAGTTTTCAGACAATACCAAGCTGGGAGGGGTTGCGAGAGTTTTGGAGCATAGGATTAAAATTCAAAATGATCTGGAGAAATGGTCTGAAGTAAATAAGATGAAATTCAATAAGGACAAATGCAAAGTACTCCATTTAGGAAGGAAAAAAGGAACATCAGTTGCACACACACAATGGGAAATGACTGCGTAGGAAGGAGTACTGTGGAAAGGGATCTGGGGGTCATAGTGGATCACAAATATGAGTCAGCAGTGTAACACTGTTGCAAAAAAAGCAAACATCAAACTGGGATGTATTAGCAGCAGTGTTGTAAACGAGACACAAGAAATAATTCTTTTGCTCTCCTCCACATTGATTAAGCCTCAGCTGGAGTATTGTGTCCAGTTCTGGGTGCCGCATTTCAAGAAAGATGTGGACAAATTGGAGAAAATCCAGGGAAAAGCAACAAAAAAGATTTAAAATATGACCTAGAAGGGAAGATGGGAAAAAATTGGGTTGATTAGTCTGGAGAAGAGAAGACTGAGGGGGGATATAAGTTTTCAAATACATAAAAGGTTGTTACAAGGAGGATTGTTCTTTTTAACCTCTGAGGATAGGACAAGAAGCAATGGATTTAAATTGCAGTAAGGGTGATTTAGGTTGGACATTAGGAAAAACTTCCTAACTGTCAGGGTGGTTAAGCACTGGAATAAATTTCCTAGGGAGGTTGCGGAATCTCCATCATTGGAGATTTTTTTTAAAGAGAGTTTAGACAAACACGTGTCAGGGATGTTCTTATACTTAGTCCTGCCTTGAGTGCAGGGGTCTGGACTCTGGACTCTCGAGGTTCCTTCCAGTTCTACAAGTCTATGATTCTGTATATAGGAAGGGTAAGAAAGATACTTCCTAAGTCTGAAGATTTTCATAGGCCATAAAATGAGGATCTGCAAACTTTAAAAAAAGTAAGCAGTCATTACATATGAGTCAAAGGAATACTCAGAGCTGGGCAACGTGTTCAACCCTTGTCCATTTTCCACTTCGTGTGAACACACAAATAACTTTAAATTGTGAGATGCTACCCCCATTGAAATCAAAGGTGAAACTCAGCACCCTGCATCATCAGTACTTGGAGTAGGCTCAACAGCTCTGGGGCTCACTTCTGGTTTATGTCCTATGTTCCTAAAGCTCGTGCTTTACTGTTTCAGCCTCCCCCCCCCCTTGTATTCTGAGAGGGTTTGTTTTTAATGTCCTTCCTTTGAATCATCAGGAGATGGCCATAGCTGCAGATGGGACATTGGAGGGTTGGGCCAGGACTCTGAGGTGGCACCGTGCATTCTTTCTCTCGGGGGGGAGGGTGGCTAGTTCTTGCTCGCATGCTCAGGATCTAATTGATTGTCTTATCAGTGGTCGGGAAGAAATTTTCCCCCAGATCAGATTTGCAGTGAGCTCTGTGGGTTTTTGCCTTCCTGTGCAGCATGTGTGTGTGTGTCATTTGCCATGTAGCCTTTTATTTTTATTTAAAGTAAATTTAGTGATCTTGTATTACAATATCTGTGGGTTCAGCTTTGGCGGCTACAGTATCAAATTCAACAGTTACCTCTGCCTGTTTCAAGTCTAGAGCACTTAGGAACACATGAAGGCCAAGGAAAGTAGCATATACAATCACAAGAACAAGTGCTACTATCTTTTATCAATTTTATTAAAATTACCAGCACAGTTATGAATATCACCGCATATATAAATCCTAGATATATCTCCACACACATTCTAGCTACAGTTGTACTCACATCTTCCTAGATACTGTTAGGGTCTGATGGGGGTCTCATGGATTGGTCATCAGTAGAGGGATAGTTCCTGCTGGAGTTTCCCATAGGGAGCTGAGTTTTCCCAATCTGGGCACCCTCTTTTTATAATTTGATTTTTTTTTTTTTGACGATGCTTATGCTCTGCAGGTGTATACAAAAGTGTCAGTCCTCTTTTTTTTCCTTATTGGCCTGGTGTCCCCAAAACATGAGGTTTTCTATAAGTTGTGTATAGTTCCTTTTATTCTCATTATCATTGACACAAAACCTGTAGCCTGTGGTTAAGGCAGGTATTAGAGAAAAATGTGCCTCTAGAGCATTTTTGTCCTCTAAAATTAATCTTTCACGATTTCACCCCTTGGTACATCTTTTCCCATCATCTTATGGCATCAGGTTATTCTTCGGTCACTTACTTATGTCAATATTTCTTATCTCTAAGGCCTAAAATAGCTAAGCTAGAATCTTACAGGCCTTAGCCTATAGGTCTTGCATTTCAGCCCTCCTTACTTGGATACCTAATACATAATCATCCCTTCTAACTACTGATCAATCTCAGGCGTGGTCTACAATACAGAGTTAGGTCGACCTAACTTGTGTCAGTGTCTATACTACAGTCTTGCTCCTGCCGATGTAAGTGCCCTATTACACCGACATAACTCCATTTCCACAAGAGACGTAGGGCTTATCTCAGTGTACTTAGGGCAACACAGTGTCCATGTAGATCAGGGGTTCTCAAACTGGGGATCAGGACCCCACAGGGGGTCACAAGGTGATTACATGGTGGGGTCGCGAGCTGTCAACCTCCACCCCAAACCCCGCTTTGCCTCCAGCACTTATAATGGTGTTAAATATATTAAAAAGTTTTTTTAATTTATAAAGGGGATTGCACTCAGAGGCTTGCTATGTGAAAGGGGTCACCAGTAAAAAAAGTTTGAGAGCCACTGATGTAGACATTGCGTTACTTACATTGGCTGTAGGGCCAATGTAAGTAACTCCAGGGTGGATGGGGGGCTTCAGCTGTGAGCCCCGCATGGCTGTCAGGGCCCCAGAATGCCCCACTTCAGTTGGTTCAAGTGCTCCTGGTGAGGATGTGTTTCACAGGCAGAAGGAGGGTAGTGTAGACACCAACAGCCAATTGAATTACTGCAGTGGCTGTAGATTGACCTAAATTAAGTTGACCTAATTTTGTAGTGTAAACCAGTCCTTCTACTTCTATAATCCTACAATTGTACTCTATTTAGCATACAATGGTTATATACAACATAGCATTATACAATAAATGAACAATGAACTAAAATCATTGGCTAAAGCTAGGATTATTTGGGTATATCTCACTTAATCATTTTCCCTGCTAGTGCAGGGTCCTCGGGCATTGGTGTGCTTTGAGCCCTTCTGTTTTCTGCTGTTGCTCATAATAGTCTAGTCTTCTGTGCGTTGTAATACTTTGGTCTCATTTCAGTTGTTGGGTTAGTGTGTGGGTGGTGGTGGTCTCTGCTATAAAGGAGATCAGACAAGATGATCTAGTGGTCCCTCTGGCTTTAAATTCTATGACTCTGTGACTATTTGACAGGGTAGGCGATCACAGAGGAAACTATTAGGTGGGGCCAAATACATCAATACAAGACTTAAGTACAGGGAAATGACCAAACCATTGTTGTGATACATGGGCAAAATATATATTCAGTATAGGGCATATACTTTATTTCTTCGTGGCTTACACGTGCTGATAAGTGATTGTGTATTTCAAATGGAAATTGTAGGGGACCTGTAGTTTGTGGATTTTCAGAGGGACCCTACATTAAAAGATTCTGTAAGTTACATTTACAAAAACAACACAACGTGCACGAACAATCTATACAAAAACAGTAGGAGATTTGGGGGTAAAAGTAGACCTCACTGTCACAAAGGCATCAGGTCTGTTGTTGCTGTACTATAACTAGTACACACGTGCCTATAGTGGTAGGATCAATGCTAGATCAGACCAGTAGTCCAGTATCCTGTAGCTGACAATGGCCAGTACCAGAAGCTGTGGAAGATACTACCCCACAGTGGACATGTTTTTTGTTTGTTTGTTTTTTAAATAATGAGGGTATATCTTCCTTCTCATTTTTTATTGTATATAATATACTATAGATTTTTTTTGTTTTGTTTTGTTTTTTGCATTATCCCTATAAATGTCTAATCCTTTCTTGAATCCTAAGGTCTTGGCCTCAATACTATCAAGTGGCAAAGAGTTTCACAGGTTAATTACATGTTAAATAAAAAAAGCAAATGTTTTCTTTTATTAATTTCAATTTTTTTGCCTTTCAGTTTTATTGAATGTCCCCTTGTGAAGAGGGTAATTTGGGGTGCCTGATTTTGTGTTCTGTATACTATTCATTATTTTGAATTTCTATCCTTATTATGAGGTCAATCTAGACAATCATAATGGTCCCTTCTGAGCTTAAAATTTATGAATTGTCATTGTTTGTACTGGGGTAGAATGGCAAGAATAGCTCCCCATTGTGCTGGATACTGTACATGCACATCATAAGAGAAAGTCCCTGACCTAAAGCACTTAAAACTTTAAATAGACAAGGTAATAAAAGGGTCAGTAAAATTCTGTTTTTATGTGGCTGGTTGCTGTGCTGGTTATTTATAGTGGCTTAAAGCTTACACTTCCATTTGTTCCCCACATAAATTGGAAATACATTCTGAATTTCCATTACCACGAATAGCCATGTCGATACTATGCAAGTTAATGGGTTAGGCACTGGACTAGAAGACAAGAATTTCTGAATTCTTAACCTAGTTCTGTTGATGCTAGATGTGGGTTGGGGCAAGTGACTTGCCCCCAAAATATTTAAAGTGTCTATTAAACTTGATTACAGCAATTTCTAGGTATCCTTCTTGAAATATTCACGGTGTTATTTTTTTCTGAGACTGAGAGCTTACCGCTCCTTGAAGTCAATTGGAGCTATTAGTGCTCAACATTTCTGAAGATCATGCCATAGGGAATGCAAAAATAAAGCTTCAAAAATTTAGAATTTAACCTCGCTGTCTGTTCTCTTATAATTGAAGAAGGCATTATGAATAATGAATTATCACACACCATTATAAGCAGCCACTTCAGGTGATACCAACAGAGTTTTATCAAGCATTGCTTGTTGTTTTGTGTAATTGTCAGTACTGTAAAATTCTACTCACCTTATCATTCATATGGGCATTTTTTTTTCTAAAAAACGGGCAACTAAATTTCATTAGGCTTTTCATTACTATACTAGTAGTAAGGAAGAGCAAATAGGGTTTTGTCTAGACTAGTAACTTTCATGACAGTTTTGTAAGGCTGCAGTAAAATGTACTTAGACATAGTATATTTAGGATTAATTAAGAAAAAGCAGGTTTCAACTTCTTGACTATAAATTATAGGGCTTAACCACATTTTCAACATAAATTTTGCTTCCTCAGTCATTTGACCCTCCGTAAAAAGAAGTTGTTTATTTTTGTTTGTCCTAAGGAGGAAAAGCAGTAATAGGCAGCTGAACTATCAGTCATGTTCAAACCCCTGAACATTACAGCCTGATGGAACATCCATTAAAAATACAACTGATGATGCACATCAGGTATTTCCAAGCATAAATATAAGTACCTCTATTTCATTTTTTCACTGGTTAAACCCCAGACATTTTAACTTTTAATACATAGGCTTCACTTTTCACCAAAAAAATAAAATAAAGTAGGTTTATTAGGTTCTTATTTTAATAGTTTTTTTTTTATTTTTTTTTTATTTTTAGAAAAAAACTATTGTTTCTAAATGTACTTTTATACTCCAAAAATGTCAGGCATTTGCTTTTTTCAGCTTTCAATATTCTCAATGTCTCACCACCCATGTTCATGTAATGATTATTCCCCTTTGTATGAATTTTCAAACTTGAATTTAAGAGTTGTCTGGGTGACTTTATAAATTTTTAATTGAGTAATATTTGTTCAGTCAGTTCTTGACCCTGCAAATGCAACAGAAGTCAGAGTTAGTGTAATTATTTTTCAGTATTGTCTGGAGAACGTTAATTAGTGAAGCAACTTTTCTGGCCTAGATAAAAAGAATTAATAAGTTGGCTCTTCATCATGGTGTCTTTCACACAAGACTTTCTGTAGCAAGAGTTAAACAGAGTTTTAATTTTTTCTTTTTTTCCTCCTCCCTCTTCAGTTTTCAGTGTGGATTGCAGCACAGTGGAATGCTCTCCTGTTCAACAAGTTGTTTGTCCACTGGATAGCTATGAAACCCAAGTCAGGCTGACGGCTGATGGCTGCTGTACTCTTCCCACAAGGTTTGTCTGGTTTTGATTTGTTAAACATTTCTTCAGCGTCTCACTTTATACAGTATGTGGCCTGAAATTCTCGACATCCTAAATGTAGGAAGACACTGAAGTTACTGTAGGTACCGGAGGTGGTGAGTGTTTAGTACAATGGTCACGGTACATCGTATCTTGCGCCAGTTAGGGGAAACCATTAAAAAAGTTAAATCATCAGTTTTATGAAACTGCTAACATCTAATCAACTTTCTGAAACTAAAAATTCTTCTCAAGTGTACACAAATACATAAAATGGAGTGTTGTTATATGTATTTTTTTCATACCTGTCAGAATTTTCATATTGACAGTCTAGTCAGAATTTGGTTGACAAAGGACAAATCATTTTGTGAAACTGTGGAAAATGCCCTGATCAGATGATGGGAAAGCAGTGTGCTTGGGACATCCCTATACGTGCTGCGAAAGAATAAATCCAATCCTATTAATGAATGAAAATTATATGTGTACCCAGTTACGCAGGTACTGTTAACTATACAACCCCGTAGAGAGGCTGTCAAGAGCTGAGATAGCAGAGGTTTTTCTCTTTTGGAAATGTTCAAATATGAGGTGCAATTTACTACATTTTTAGAATATTAAAGTATTTCAGAACAAACAGTTCATGCAAAAAAGTTACCTGGCATTTTCCTGGAATTCTGTACTATATGATATTGTCTGCAGCAAGTTATATTCCATTAAAATACTGATACAGATACCAGAAAAACTGGATCCCAAATGTACTCATCAATTTTCCACTCAAAAAGCCAGTATCAATCTTTATTTAAAAAAACAAAACACAAAGCAGGTAATTCTCCCTCTACGCATAGGACCTTTTCAATATCAAGCCAAGCTAACCAAGCTCTCTCATGCTGTACTACATTAACATATGCCAAAACATCATCTGAGATTGTAAATAAAATTAAATAATCTTATTTTGTGGGGATAGTGAGTAATCTAAAATTTTGGCACCATAATTTCTACTAAAAATGCTCCTTACAAAAAATTGTATTAAGGGAACTTTAAAATTACTAAGCGAACCACTCAGAAGTTAGGAAATTCCAGAGGTAAGGTTACACAAGCAACCATAACTCTTACCGTTGGGTACATATGTTAGAATCCATTATTTAATTATGTAACCATGTACTGTTCTGTCCATGGGACACCAGCCTCACTCATTGTGCAGTGAATGAGAAAAAGGTGTAACATTTTTTAGAGGAAACTTGTGAAAACACAAGTGAAGAGGAAGACTGCATGTAGTACATTTACTATTGGTCTACCAAAAATTTGTTTAAAAGTATTTTATGGAAAATTTATTAATTATACCTTCATAACCCTTTAAAAATAAATATCAACTTAATTATTTGTAAACGTTATTTTTTAAATAAATTATTTTATCCTCAGTCTTCTCTGATTATTTTGCTAGCCTCAAAACTGAGGGCCAAATTTGGTTATACGAGTGTGAATTTGAATGGTGCACTTATGCTGGATTTACATTGTTACAATTGCAAACGGATTTTGGCCCACATTAAAATGTGGATTCACAGGACTCTGCTCCTTTAGGCTGTGTGGCATAGTACATATAGCACTGGACTGGGATTCAGCAGATCTGGGTTCTGTTCCTGACTACCATTGGCCTGCTGGGCAAGTCATTTCACTTCTGTGTCTCCGCTTCCCCATCTGTAAAATGGGATAATGACACTTGACCTCCTTTGAGATCTAGTAATGAGAAATGCTGTATAAAAGCCAGGTATTACACCTCTACCCCGATATAAGGCGACCCGATATAACACGAATTCTGATATAACGCGGTAAAGCAGTACTCCGGGAGGGCGGGGCTGCGCACTCCGGCAGATCAAAGCAAGTTCGATATAACGCGGTTTCACCTATAACGCGGTAAGATTTTTTGGCTCCCGAGGACAGCGTTATATCGAGGTAGAGGTGTATTATTTATTAACAACCTTCTTACCTGCTATGCACAGTCCAGGACATACCAATGCAACACTAGACTTTACCAAAACAATAGATGCAAAACCTGCAGACATATCTCCACTGCTACAATGATCAACACCCCTCACAGCACATCTTTCAAGATCCATGGGTCCTACACATGCCTATCACAGCATTTGGTGTACCGCATCCAATGCACTAAATGCCCCAGTAACAACTATGTGGGTAAAATGAGACAATCGCTACACTCTCAACTAAACTCACGCAGGAAAATGATAGAAGATAAAAACACGGTATCACCTGTGAGTGAACACTTTTCACAATGTGACCATTCTGTCTGTTCTGTCAGTCCTCATCCTCAAAACATGCATAACACTTTCAAAAGACAAGCCTGGGAGCTTAAATTCGTAACTTTGCTAGATACTAAAAATCATGGACTGAATAGACACTGGATTTCACTTATTACAACAACCTGAAACCCACTAACAATCCCTCCAGCGGCCTTTCTCTACCAACCCTCCTTCATTTCTCCCCTAGGATAGGAAGAGTGTTAACTGGCCACTTCACCTTGAATGGTCCCTTGAAATGTGTTGACTACTTATGATAAACAATCTAATCCACCTTGAATTTAACTATGACACTCTGAATACATTTCCCAGACATGAAGAAGCTTTGTAAGCTCAAAAGTTTGTCTTGTAGCAACAGAAGTTGGTACAATAAAAGATATTACCTCACCCACCTTGTCTGTCAACCTGCTGTGCAGTTATTTTCAACATCCCCACCTTGGGTGTAGGGAATTGTACAATAACCTCAATAGAGGAGTGCCCCAGCTGCACCACATCTGGGATGGGGCAGGATTTGACCCCCTTGCAAATCAACCAAGTGCCTGGCTTGGCTACTTGTGTTTGTCAGTTTTGCTAGACAACAAACACCAGACAAATAAAGTAAAACCATTTTTTGTGAACACCATGCTGAAAACCTTATGTAGCCCGTGTATCAAGTTATCAGTGATACATGTTTCAACACTTACATGTAAAAAGTTGTGAAGACAACAAGAGCCTGATTAGTGAAGAACCTGTAGAGGTTTGCCAGAGAGAGGCACAGCTCCAAAAACCTTTCCAATCCATTGGACTCTAATACTCCTGCTACAGAAGCTTAATATGCCCAAAGCAGCTAGAATGAGATGCTGTCAAAGGCTGTAATCAGGAAAGGAGCATGTGCAGAGGCTGTGGAGCCTGCCTGGACAGTGGAACCGTGGAGGCAACATCCGAGAGTGGAAGTTCTCTTAGACAGTCCAGTACTCTGTCAGCCTTTCTAGCAAAGAATAATACAGTTGTAGTGCTTGATCTAATAAAACACATGCTTAACTTGCATGGAAGTCAGTAGGATGTAATTACAGGGATAGAGTTAAGCATGTGTTTTGGTTTGCTGGGGGTGATGGTGAACAGGCCAAGTATCTTTTTTTGTTTGTTTTATTGTGTTTTTTCTTAAAAATCCTGTCTTTGGATTTTCTGTAGGCTTAATCCCTGTGCAAAATTTTGTGTGTGACTTATGTGATTGTGATATTTTAGGCGCTTGAAAAAACTTTATTTCTGTGGAATTCTCAAGAAGGAATTACTTAAAATATAGAATTTTACCAAGAAATGTGAAAGGTACCTAGAAAATAGTGTTCATGTTCTTCTAAGGGCTCGTCTATACAGGCCCGTTAGTGCATGATAGACTGGTGCAGATTACAATTTACACCCCACTGGTGTGGACTAATGTACCATGTAGACTAGCCCTAAGTGATTACACCATGCTTGAAATGGAACACTAAATACTAACAGCGTAACTGGTGTCTGTTTGAGCCTGTAGACAGCCTGAAATGATAGCTCCAAAGTATTTGAACTACGCTTTTCATTGTAACTCTGAAACCTTCAGCCACTGGGATGAGGCCAAGGGGTTGGAGGTGCGGCCATGAGGATCCTTAGGGGGAATGAAAAATAATGAGAAAGGAAAAGATAAGCTGGAGTAAAATTATGAAGTCTTTTGAAAGTAAAAAACAAGGAACTTGATTTTTGAAGTACAAGTTGAGAAAGGGATTTGAAGAGGCATGGGAGAGGACTTAGGGTGACCAGACAGCAAATGTGAAAAATTGGGATGGGGGTGGGGGATGATAGGAGCCTATATAAGAAAAAGACCCAAAAATCGGGACTGTCCCTATAAAATCGGGACATCTGGTCACCCTAGAGAGGACTTCAAACATTTTGTTCAGCTTCTCACAATATCCCGTATAAAGATTTTTGCATTACAAAATCCAGGAAGAAGGAACAGCAACATGCAGAGATTTCTCTGTGTAGGCATGCACATATGTTGGGGGCAGAGGAGGTAGTTTCCACAGGTTTGCAATTTTTTCATGAAATCACAAACAAATATTAGCAATAAGTCAGCTGCAGTTCAGCTTAGATTGCCATGATCAGTTTCACAATTAGCCAACTTTTGTCAATTTTATCGGTTTCAAGAAATCTGATAGTATTTTAATGAAACTAGTAATTTCTTTTTTTGGTTTCTAGAAGCCAGTACATTTCATTCTCCTTCCCCCCCCCCCCCCCCCCCAAAGAACTTGCTGTTTTAGCAGCAATTAATAAATGCTAAGTGACAGTACAGCTATAAGGACACTTGGGAATATTGAACCTAGGGAATTAATAGAGATATGAATTCTAAGTCACTGACTTCACAGACAGCTGACACATTATGTGGAAGGAGAGAGGCTTCAGTTTCACATGTGATTTTTTCAATTGGTCAGAAAAGGTTTATGGCGTGCTTTTTTGGGAACCAGAAACCTGTCTGCCTCCCAGGAGCACTGTTAGTCTATTTCAGGAGAGGAGATGGCACACATCTCAAAGCTGTACTTAAGAGTACCTTTTGACATTTGTTAACTGATTGTGGGTTCCTGCAAAGTAACTAAATGAAGGGGATCTCTTTACCTTCCTGACATACAGCATAAACTAGCAGTAGTTAACATCTCTCTTTATTCCACCTAAAATAGTCTTCAG